TTTACAATCAAGAATAATAAGTTCAAATGCAAGCAGAGCAGCTGGGAAATTCAAATTCAATTAATTAAATAAATCAGGACAAAAAGCATGTAACAATTAAAACTACCAATGTTTCACTATGTCCTTTAGAAGGAAATCTGCTGCCCTTACCAGTCCGGCCTATATGTGACTCCAGACCTACAGCAATGTGGTTGGCTTTTCACTGCTCGCTGAAATCGTCTAACAAGCCATTCACTTGTATTCCAGAAGGTGGCTCACCACTAAATTCTGAAGGATGATGAAGGAAAACAGAAAAAATGCTGGCTTTGCCAACAATTCCCATGAATGAATTTTAAGAGCCGATGTTTGTCAACTCAACTGCTCCTAGTGATAATAAGTTCCCCATTCTAACCATTCTCGGAGTAAAGAACAGGCTCCTCAATTCTGCATGATGTTTATCAGTTACTGTTTTACATTCACACTACCTAATTCTGATCTTTCATGTGTAACCTGCAAAGCCCTTGCATAATCTAAAACACCTTAATCAGATCGCCTTCGATCTTCTCTTTTCTGTTTTCTAATCCACAAAGACAGTTGAATGAAAAATAGATCCAGATCCAATCTTTACACACTTTAAGTTACACTTTACAAGCATATACCTGCTAACCCATCAATCATTTTGTGCCTAGTTATGGGGGTTGGGTGGGAGGCTGTACAAGTGAATGCCAGTTAATGTTGATCACCTGTCTGGAATTAATATACAATTATCTCCCCTGACAGTTGTAACCTCTGAGTTTTTCAGTTTCTCGATGTTTTGCTATCACAACTTCGAGGATTCCATTATCTTCCCTGCCTCATGTCTAGGCAGACAGTGGTGCAGGGCAGATATTGCATCACTACTCTTTAGATTTTAACCCAAATTACGACTTCAACTAATTCTAATTCAGGAAATTTTTAAAGAACCTAATGACATTTTGAAAAATGTTTTCTTGAGATATTCTCTTGTCCAACACCACTAAACAAAGTAGTAACTGGTCTTACTGTTGATTGTGGAGACTTGCTGCATGAATTCAAACCTCATTCTATTAAGACCAACATATTATGGTGACTACTGTTACAGAAGGCAAAATGCTAGAATCAGAAATAGAAACCGAAAATGCTGTAATTACTGAGCATCTGTGGGGTGGGTTAGAGGGTTTCGAAAGGGGATTTTAATTATCCACTGTCGTGAATCCGACATGAAGGAAATGCAGGGCGACTTATGGTTTTTAGAGTGATCGCTCATGTCGCTCACGTGGTGAGTCCGGCATTAGGACCTCGCAGCAGGAGAGTGGAGTCCGCGGCTTTGGGAACAGATTCAGATGGTCAGGTGTCAGGGTGGTCTGAGGGAGCCTACCCAAAATAATCCAGTCACTGTGTCCCATAGAAGGAACAGCATACAAAGGGGGCTCCCACATGTCGGGGAATGCATCCACAAGGAATGGGAATGACTGCTTCTTGGACGAATCCTTTGGATCTGGATCAGGGATCGGTGTCAGATCTCAGTTGGAGATCATTAGCTTCACACCAGAGGCTTCACTGGGAAGGTCTGAGCAGCATTCCGCTCGGTCCTACAGCTCCCCTCACCACCCCCTCTCCCCAGAATCACGATGCAGCTTCGCTCTGCTTCCGTGCTTTCCAACAGTCTGCAACCAGTCTTTCGAGCCTGCCATGATTGTAAACTTTTCCTCTTCGCTCGCTCAGCCTGTGTGGGAGGTTTCCTGTGTGGCTTTACTTCCGCCAAATAGAGGAAGGATCCCGGAGGCAGTTAAATAGAGCGGTGATACTGTCAGTGAAAAAATGGGTTCGTTTTCATCCACACAATTGGACGTTGCTATTTGTTCTTCCTTTTTACTGACCCTTCGCATTATGTTTAAAGTGACAAAGCAGGAAGAATGTTACAGTTCATTTTCTTTTAAAAAAACACGAAGTTGATCTTTTTTGCCAGTGTAATTTCCAACTCTTTGACCAGCGTTACATAACCACAGCTTTTCATTGGAGCTGCTCCTGCCCTTTTTTACCATTCGATTTCACCCAAGTTCTTCTTGCATTTCGGCGCAACATGGGATGATGATGATGGGGGGCGGGGGGGGGGGGAGAAGGGGGTGAAGATCTTTCTCTATTTTTCCCCCCAGGTTATATCTCCTTGACCCCACCACAAATTGCTTCTCGTGTCCTCCGCCCAACTTCTGTCTGGATGTTCCTGTGCTATTTCTGTCCTTAATTTCTTTTATATTGTCTTTTTTTTTGTTCCCATTTCAGCCTAATTCTCATGTGCCTGTGCTTTACCACGCTGAAAGGATGAGCTGGATGTCCCAGCAATGACACTGGTCTATTGCACACGTGCAGGGGCGAAACCATAAAGTGAAACTATAAATTGTTCCTTTCCCTGAGGAAGCATCTGATCACTGCTGGACCCTTCCGGAACACTTCCATGTGGGAACTGACAGACACGTGTTTGTGTTCTAGATATTTTGCTAACCAACCTGCTGAGCGATCTTACTGTTGACGTGTAACCAGATGCGGAGCCAGCATACCCACACCGAGTCCTTTCAGATGGTACCTTTCACTCGTTAGCTACCTTGCCGGTGATCAGACTGTGTGAGTGTAGATCTTCAGTCTGAATGCTGCGTGTAAAGCTGTTTTGATGTTACCTTGTGGAGTTCTGGGAAAGCAGAGCTGCGCCCTGCAGCAGTATTGAGACCCACGCCGATTTTCGTTCGTGAGTGCTGTAAAAGACATGCAGAATCCAGTTTCTTTATCAAATTTTGTCTTGAAAGGAGGATGTATTTCAACCGGGAATAAACAGGGGAAATCCCTCACACAAACCAATCGACGCATGTTTAATTTCTAAAATAAATTGGAGCCGCTACCAGAAAAGAAGCAAGGACGTCCATTTCCACAGCGCCTATCGTGAATTCGAGACATACCAAAGCGTTTCACAACCAATACTTCCAAAATGTAATTACGTGTAATGTAGGAAATTTATACAAAGCAAGATCCCACGAACATCAATGCACGAAATAACCAACTAATCTGTTTAAGTGGTACTGGTTGAGGGATAATTGCTATCAGGCCGGGAGAACTCTGTGCTCCTATTCCAAACAGTACCATGAAATCATTTGGGTAAACCTGCAGATGCTGCGACATCTGCTGAGTACCTCCATCATTTTCTGTTTCTAATGCCCTGTTTTTAACATTTTTTACATCCATAGGCTAAAATGCTTTGGTGGGAAGATTGAATTAAATTCACGTCTTGCACACGTTACAGTAGTCATTATACTTTAACATGTTTCCGGCTACATGCAAGTTTGCATTTAAAGATAGAATCCAGAGGTATGGTAAGAAAGAATGATCTGCATTTGTTTAGTACTTAATCAACAAGAACTTGCTTTGATCTAGTCTTCAATACAAAAAAATACACCCAGTTGCTTTACAGAGGCAAAACTGGACAGGAGGATATTGGGTGACAATATACTTAGTTTAAAAAAGGTGCAATTTTAATTAAATATATAAATGAACCTAAAACGTTTTTAGAATGTTTGCTTGGTATGTTATAAACTGGCATGGAAAAATAGCAAAATGATCTTTATAAATATATTATCTCTCCTATGTGGAACACATATGGTTTCCCCTTGTATTTCTTCTTAAGATCTTAATTCTGGTTGTGATAGGATACCACAGGGACTTGAAATCAGGCCACTCACTTAAAACTCTCTGAAGCATGATTCGTCATCTATCAGTTTGCACAATGAGTCTCAGCAGGCCATTTTACAACAGAGAAAATCTGATTCTATTCCGAATTAATATCTCACATGGTACACAACCTTAAAGACCGGAAGATCCCTGGCTTTGATCCCTGGCTTGTGCTAAACAAAAAAATTGAAAGAAGCGCAGATGCTGGGAATCACAAACAAAAACAAGAACAGAAATTGCTGGAAAAACTCAGCACATCTGGCAGCATCTCGGAGAGAAATCAGAGTGAAGGTTTTGGGTCTAATGACTCTTCTTTAGAACTATTCTGACTCTGATTTCTGTCCACAGATGCTGGCAGATATAATGAGTTTTTCCAGCAATTTCAGCCCTGGTTTAGGCTATGTCTGTTAGGGTGTTAGGAATTTGTTCAAGATTCCCATTCTAAATTACTTTCCAGTAACTTCTGATGATAAGAATCTTTATGGACATTGGAAAGAATAAAGCTGGCTTTGGATTTGATGCCCACAAGAAGAATGGCCATTGAGATGACAGCTGGTATCCAGTGAACCATGCTTCAGCAGAAAAGGTATGAAACATCTTTTTCTTAAAAATTCTCAAAGCTCCTGCTGTTGATCACTGTCCTGATGGATAAGTATGTAGGTTAACATCCAATGAAAACAGGAAGACTTTCTGAAGCCCTCTGTGATTTAGTTATCTAGTGATACTGGCTGTCTCGTTTCTTATGTGAAGTCCAGGCTCCCTGGCGAGCTTCTGAAGTGTGGGGAGCTTGGACATTCATTACTCGTGGTTCTATTGATACAAACACTGGTGGGGAATTGCGATCTCGTTTGGCATGAGTTTTCCTCCCTGCCCCATATTCCAGAATTTCCTCGCGCATGCTTCAACTCTTTATATGCGGTTGCCTTATATAGAATTGTACCCCAGCAAAAATCAGTCATTTCATGAGTGAAAAGAATGTTGAAGAAAATTAAGAAAAATGTTATTTAAAGAAACAACTGCAACTAAAGAGCATGCAGAGTAAGTTGGTTAAAGCACAGAAAACAATAGATAGTTATTGACTAATATTTTTCAGAATGGTGAACTCTGAAAAATCATATTCCCAGCATGAAGTGAACACTTGTAACTGAATTAAGAAATTGTTTGATATCCAAAATACGAGTTAAATGGATAAAGAATTTAGCTTTTCTGCTTTGCCCTAGAAATGGGCCTCAGAACAATACTGTACACTGCACCTTTGAGACATTTTACGACTACCACCACCAGTC